GGGATTATAAAGGGCCATGGAGACTGGGTGCATATACATAGATTGGCATGGAGGGTTTGACGGGAAATGGCTATGGGATGCACATGTTGTCGTAGGAGGACATGCAGAGTCTGGAGGTGGTAAGGAAGCGTAAGAGATCAGGCTGGAGGAATGTTTTATATTTTATTATATTTCTTTTGTAAACCTCAATATAGTACCCGTGTAGAGGGGCATGTATGGGGAGGTGATGGCCTAGTAGTATTACCACTGGACTGTTAATCCGGAGACCCAGGTAATGTTCTGGGAACCCGGGTTCGAATCCTGCCCTGGCAGATGGTGGAATTTGAATTCTATTAAAATATGACCACGAATCTATTGTCAATTGTTGGAAAAACCTATCCAGTTCACTAATATCCTTTAGGGAAGGAAACTGCCATCCTTACCTGGTGAGGCTTACATGTAACTCCAGTCCCACAGCAATGTGGTTGACTCTGAGCTTCCATCTGGGCAATTAGGGATGGGCAATAAATGCTGCCTAGCCAGCAATGCCCTCATCCCATGAATGAATAAACAATAAAGAGATTCCACCAGCCTGCCTCCACAATCCGCATCCCTGCTCATGTCCCTGGGGTACCCCACCTGACACCCAGGGATCCTCAGCACTCCAGAATGAAAATCCCAACTTCTGATACACTTTCTCTTGGTTTGATTTCACAGAGCCTGGAAATATCCCAACTCTGCTCTCAACTTGGATGCACAAGTCCAGAGGTTTCTGTAAGAACACTTCAAACAGTCACACCTTATTTAATGATGTGAAACTCGGTTATACCAAATTCATTGGTCCATAAAAACTAACTTTATGTTTGTGAAGTGTTAGATATGTCCATTATAATGAAATATATACATTATTAAAAATAATAATTTTGTAAAAGTTTGTTTATAATATTTCAGCTTACACATAAATATCACGTCTTTATCTCACTCATTCATTTCAATCTTCGTAAAATCTTAGTTCAAAGTGTTAAGTTCAGTATTTTTTCTTCCAAGTTTCTGTCTGTGAGAATACTTCAATGTGATTGGTTACTTATATCACCGATGATGTAACTGTTTCTGATGGCTTATGATCTCCCCAAATTGATATCAGAGTTAAATTGACAAGGGGAAAGCAGAATCCGTGGCAGAGAAATCTTTGTGGGCAGCTTTCTTCAAGGTAAAGGATAAGTGCTGTCATTTCGCTGTTGACAACAAAAGCCGATATCTCGGAGCTGCAAAGATTAATTATTTCAAACTTATCTTTTGGTGATACGCATTATTCTGATGAAAATCTCCATGGAAGTAAAATATATCAGATATTTACAATGTCCATCAGTGATCACATGCTACTGCTTGCTCACTATAAAGTATTTCCCAAGGCTCTACAAGAAAACTTCATCATAGCAAACGTCTGATTGCAATTTTCTGATGCTGCAGCATAGTTAGTAGAACTCATTGGAACTTTGTTAATTACTTATTTGCCCATGCTGGAAATGTTACAATTTATATCAAAGTGGGTCATTAAAGTAAGGTATTTGGCTCAATGTCCGTAAAAATGCAAACTATAATCTCGCCCAAAATGTTTTTCTGCGGTTTTACATCTAAAGGTTCCTGTATGTCAATCCCCACACTGTGTACTCTTGTTTTGAACCAAGCAGCCATAGGAAACACTGATCCAAAATTCATGTACATTTTTGGACAGAAAAAGGAGATTCATATTGTGCTCTTCTCATTTCAAGAACCGAATTAGAGAGATGGAAAAGGAAAGACCTGTTTGCTGTCTTAGTAGGTAAATCATGAAAAAGACAATGATGGAAGAAAGTTGAGAACAAATAGAGGAATTGGAGTTATTCTTTTCTAGAATTAATTTCAAAAAATCCAAAATAATGACAAAACCATGTGGCATTATTTTGGATTTTTTGAAATTAGTTCTAGAGAACAGATATTAGCAAATAGAATTATTCAAAATATTGGAATATTAAAAGCATAACATGTCGACGCAAGTTTAAAGTAAAACAGAAATAAGGAAAAGAAAGTTCTACCTGAGGAGCTTTGCAGATTAAGTTAAGTAAATTTATCCATTGATGTAGGGAAGTACAACATGTTCATTATTTTGTTTTGTTTTTGGCTATCATGTTTTCTAGTTTGTTTTATGATATTACAATCATAGCTGTGGTTACGTATGTTTGTTACCCGAGTCTGCCTTCAGAGAAAGTGAAGGAATGCACATGCGAAAGGCACAAATATCTGGTTGAGATCACAAAGGGGCATTGTTTTTTTTCGACCCAAGATTAAACAAGCCATTGTGCAAGTAAATAGAGACAACACAAGTCAATTTCATAAAAATAAGAATATTAGATCACTTTCCACGAGAAACTGAACCCATTGAACCTGAGATGTTATCTTTGGCATGCCTCACTAAAGGAATATGGTCCAATTGTTTTGTAACATTATTTTATTCTTTCATGGATGTGGGCATTGCGGACAAGGCCAACATTTTTTTGTCCTTCCCAGTTGCCCTTAATAAGGTGGTAGTGGTATTCCTGTCCCAAAGATGCTTCAGAAAACCCAACTATTTGTAACAGTGGGCTGGGCAGGGAATGAAAATCTGGTTTGGGATTATGGGAAAATTGAATGAAATGTTTATTGCTATAAGGCTTTATGTAGTTGAAAGATTTTAAGCATAGTAATTTATTTATGAATGAATATGTTTCCTTCAATATAGTAAAGTCTGCAATATTTTATCTCCTCTCAGTATGTGTCCTGATGTATACTCGTGGATATGTAATGATTTGGCAGGTGTAAGAGCAAAGGGCATTGGTTGGCATGAGCTGGCAATTATGCTGGGTCAAGAATATCATTAGAAATTATCAGTTTACTTGTTGCAAAATAATCTGATTTATAATTTAGCTGAAGTTTTTGTATCATGTGCAGTTAATGAACTTAAAATAATAATTGCTTTAATAGTTAGATACCAGCTCACTGTAATGGTAAGTGCTTTGTTCTAAGTTTAAAGTTCCAGAAGAGTCAACAACAGGTGACATATCAAGAGAAAATTCTAAATATGTTAACAACAACAAAGCTGAGTCCAAATGAATCAAAAGTGTTTTATTGCTAACCAATAAGCTCATTCTGCAGTCTTTGACTGAAGAAGATCAGGTTGCAGTAAAAGGTTAAAGTTATTATTCAATTTTAATCTGTTCTCTATCTCTTATTGTAATTGTCTATCTCTTAGAAGAGTAGAGAGATAAGACACTACACACTTAGTGCAAAAGTTGACCTGTAATTGCTGAACATTATCACGTTTAATCAAAGTTTTAGATTTTCCATCATTTAATCATAAATTACAAAACTGAACTGAAAGGCAATCATATATTATTGGCAATTGATTTGAACTTATTAGTATTTTTCACGAAACTGTGAAATAGCTCAACAATTGTACAGTATTCAAATTGGAATCTATACTGATGGATTGTCTGGAATATAAAACCCTTTAATAAGCTGAACATGGAAATATGTTTTGTTCAAAGTCGACTCCTGTACTAATTTTAACCAAGAATTAGGCTTGTTTTTGCTTGTTTTTGTTTTAATGTGAAATGACTTGCCATGAGCATGCATAAAATTTGGTATATCACTCAGGAGTTTGATTGGTTATCTGTTTGGGAACTGTGTCAGGTTTAAACATTTGTCTTTTAAAACACGTCCTTTGTCATGTAGCCATATATGATGTTATTGTTTGATTGGGAAGAAACTTCAAACATTTTAAGCAGATTTAAAAAAAAGATCATTTGCCCTCTTTTCCTCTCAATATGATTTACCTATTCAATTTAGCTTCTAACCCTAGCACCCTTTTTTGAACTGTTGACTGTACGATGCATTCAATACCAATATTTCCTTCAGATCACACATCACAGTACAAAAAAAAACTTCTAGTTCTTTTGCAGTCGAATCATTGCACCTTGGTCTCTTCCTGTGCGGCATTGTAAATCCTATTTCTTTCAGTTCTTCAGATTCACTGCTGCTCTAAACTGTAGAACCTCACTTCTTACCTTCGTCAAACTTTCCTTCTTTCTATGTACTCTATTTATATTTTTAAAAATCAATAAAAACAGTAAATACTGGAAATACTCTGCAGGTGAGACAATGTCCATGGAGACGAAAAGAAACTGAATTAACCTCTTAGTTCTGATGGAAGATCACAGACCTGAAAAAGTTGACTTTTTCTCACAATAGATGCCATCAGAACTGCAGGGTATTAACAGAACTACCTCTTTTTATTTCAATATTGTTTCTGTTCTTTTTTTAAAAAAAAACCCATCGAGCAGTTATTATTCTGAGCTAATTTGTATCTTTATTGTTCCTTTCACACTTGATGATGTCCTACCCGAAGGGCCTCATTCATTCACTTACATTCTTCAGCAAAGTACCGAAGTTTCTCTTGCAGTTTAAGATTGCGGGACAAGCAGACTGAAGAACAACCGACAAACTCGTTACAGCTCAGCTATTATCCAAGGCAGAATATAAACAGAGGTGACCTCAACCAATGAAACATTTCTTCTGTAAATGCTGACAGCAATCACAACCAATGAGAAACTAAAGCTCCAATAATTGTATTATGTCAGTAAACATGTGAAAATATGTTTTCTATGAGATATTAGACATTGGCTTAAATATCTGTCACAGTCTGGGAATTTAATACATATCATGAGTTAATAAAAAAGAATTTGTAGACATGAACATGCAGTACAGACTAAACCTACATCGTGGCATGACTGTTTATGGCAGCTGTTATTCATAGATTTCAGCATTAAGGATGATACTTTACAAAAATCAACACCTTTCCAATTTTATTAATTAACTTAGAAACTAAAAACTAAAAACAGACATATTTTGTTATATCAACAAGGAAGCAATTTACCTATTAGCTCAACAGTTAATAACTGCAAATTGAAATAATAGAACGCAAATATTGAAGTCGAACACCCTACCTTTATTGCTGGAGGAACTTTGTGACTGGTAATCCAACTCCTAGTCTGGCTTTAAAGTTTATATGTGTGCATATACATATGGTTACTTACTGCTCACACAGCAGTTGCTCAAGACATACTTTTCACTCACTGGAATTTCACTCCTGCAACACATGGCTAGTAGCCAAAATTCTAACACTGCGCCCAGGTAATCTTTGAACCTCTGCTGAGATGAGTTCCAAAGTTCATTTGTCTCAAACAATTCTGATAGTAGTAACTACAATCAATCAGTTTTGTTTTCATCTTTAACTCTTTCAACAGGGTTGGCTACAAACTGTGTTCTAAATCAATCCAAATAGATTGGTAGCAATATTTTAGCATACATTCATTTCTATTATGATGCACCATCTTGAATAAAATTAGAAAATGCATCTGGATTTATTGGCATTATCACAAACCATAGAATTATAAAAAGTAATGATGCAGAGAGGCCATTCCAGTCTAAATTTGGCATCAATGAGCCCTAGCAAAACCAAAGTCAACGGAAATCAGGGTAAAAACTCTTTGCTGATTGGAGTCAGACCTGGCATACGGGAAGATTTTTGAGGTTGTTGGAGGTCAGGCATCTTAGTTCCAGGACATTTTTTGCAGGAATTCATCAGAGTACTGTTCATAGATCAACCATCTTCAGTTGCTTCATCAACGATATTCCGTCCATCTTCAGATCAGAAGTCAGGATGTTCTCGGATGGTTGCAGAAAGTTCAACATCATTTGTGACTCCTCAGATACTGAAGCACTCCAGATAAAAATGCAGCAAGACCTGGGCAATATCAAGGCTTATGCTGACAATGGGCAGCAGATACACGGGAACATCATCGTCTGCAAGTTCCTCTTCAAGCCACTCACCATCCTGACTTGGAAATATATTGTCGTTCCTTCTCAGTCTCTGTGTCACAACCTGAAACTCCCTCTCTGCTGCATTATGGCTATACCTACACTTAATGGGATGTTCATTAGTCACAGGAGAGGTCCCAGAGGACAGGAGAATAGCCAATGTCCTTTATTTAAGACAGGCAACAGAGATAATCTGGGAAATTACAGGCCAATAAGCTTTACACCTGTGTTAGGGAAATTATTGGAGGAATCCTTAGGAATAGGATTTACTCAAATTTGGAAAAAATATGGACTTATTAATGACTGGAAGCATGGCTTTGTGCAGGCAAGGTTGTGTGTCACAAATTTCATTTTTGAGCAAGTGACAAAGATGATCTATGAAGATGGTAGTTGTTGTCTATGGACTTTAGCAAGGTCTTTCACAAGGCCCCTCATGACAGCTTGATGCAAGAGGTGAAGTCACATGGGATCCATGGTGAGCTGATAAGATGGATACAGAACTGGCTTAGTCATAGAAGACAGAGAGTGGCAGTGGAAGGGTATTTGTATTATTGGAGATCTGTGATCCGTGCTGTTCAGCAGGGATCAGTGCTGGGACCCCTGTTCCTGTAATACATACAAATCATTTGGAGGAGAATGTTGTTGGCCTGATTACTAAGTTTGTGGATGACACAAAGACTGGGGGAGCTGCATATAGTGAGGAGGATTGCAGGAGGATACAGCAGGATATAATAGGCTAGAGAGTTGGGCGGAGAAATGGCAGATGGAGTTTAATCCAGGCAATTGCAAGGTGACACATTTTGGAAGATCTAATGCAGTAGGAAAGTATATGGTAAATGGCACTTCCCTTAGCAGCATCAACATACAGAAGGATCTAGGCATACTGGTCCATAGTTCCCTAAAAGTGGCAACACAAGTGGATAAGGTGGTCAAGAAGGCAGATGGCATGCTTGCCTTCATCAGTTGAGGCATAGAGCATGAAAAACTTATGTTGCTCCTTTATAGAACTTTAGTCAGGCCACAATTTGGAATATTGTGTACAGTTCTGGTCACCACACTACAAGAAGGTTGTGGAGGTTTTAGACAGGATACAGAATTAGTTTACCAGGATGTTACCTGGTTTGGAGAGTACTAGCTATGAGAAGAGATTGGACAGACTTGGTTTATTTTCACTTGAACATCAACGGATGAGGGGTGACCTGAAAGATGATCACAAAATTACGAGAGACATGAATAGAATAGCTAGCCAGAGTCTCTTTCCCAGGGTGATAATGTCAATTATTAGGAAACATAAGAACATAAGAGCATAAGAACTAGGAGCAGGAGTAGGCCGTCTGTCCCTTCGAGCCTGCTCCGCCATTCAATAAGATCATGGCTGATCCTTTCGTGGACTCAGATCCACTTACCCGCGTTCTCACCATATCCCTTAATTCCTTTATTGTTCAAAAAAAATCTACCTTTGTTTTAAAAGCGTTTACTGAAGTAGCGTCAACTACTTCACTGGGCAAGGAATTCCATAGATTAACAACCCTCTGGGTGAAGAAATTCCTTCTCAATTCAGTCCTAAATCTGCTCCCTCTAATCTCGAGGCTATGCCCTCTTGTCCTAGCTTCACCTGCCAGTGGAAACATCCTCTCTACTTCTATCTTATCTATTCCCTTCATAATTTTATATGTTTCTATAAGATCCCCCCTCAATCTTCTGAATTCCAATGAATATAATCCCAATCTACTCAGTCTCTCCTCATAAGCCAACCCCCTCAACTCCGGAATCAACCTAGTGAACCTCCTTTGCACCCCCTCCAGTGCCAGTACATCCTTTCTCAAGTAAGGAGACCAAAACTGCACACAGTACTCCAGGTGTGGCCTCACCAGCACCTTGTACAGCTGCAACATAACTTCTCTGCTTTTTATTTCACTCCCTTTAGCAATGAAGGACAAAATTCCATTTGCCTTCCTAATTACTTGTTTACCTACAGACCTACCTTCTGTGATTCATGCACAAGGACACCCAGGTCCCTCTGCATAGCAGCATGCTGCAACTTTTTACCATTCAAGTAATAATCCTTTTTACTATTACTCCTACCAAAATGTATGACTTCACATTTATTTACATTGTATTCCATCTGCCAAACATAGATTTAAGGTAAAGGGGAGTAAGTTTAAAGGACATGTGAGAGGCAGATTTTTTACACAGAGGGTAAGCCTCTGGAATACACTGCCAGAGGAGATGGAGGAGGCAGATGCAAGATTAATATTTAAGAGGCACCTTGACAGAAACATGATTAGGCTGGGAATAGAGGGATACAGACTGCATAGAGGCAAAATGTGTTTAGATTAGAAAGGCATCATGTGTCAGCACAATCTTGATTGGCCGAAGGGCCTGTTCCTGTGCTGTACTTTCTCCTTTGTTCATTGCGGTGGTTCAAGAAGGAAGTTCACCACCACCTTCTCAAGGGCAAATAGGTTTGTGCAGTACATGTGCAGTTTGGTCTTAGTAGGATAATAGGTCGGCACAACATCTTGGGCCGAAAGGCCTGTACTGTGCTGTACTGTTCTATGTTCTATGTTCTATGTTCTATGCTTGCCCAGCTACTAAAGCCCATGGTAGTGGTTATGGTTTTGGAAGGTGCTGTCTAAGAACTCGGTGAAGAAAATTCATTCTAACTCCATTCTAATCTTTCTACCAATTATTTTAAATCTATACCCTACAGTTAGTGAATTCTCTGCTCCAACTTATCCGTGTTTTCTGGATTCCTTATATTGTTATACACCTCAATTAAATCTTCTTTCAGCTAATGAGGAAGTCTCACTCTACCTACATTTACCTCAGAGTTGAAATTCTCCTCATATCTCTCTTGTCTGAAAGGCGGTAACTAGGAGTGCTGAGCTGCAACGCCTGCTCATTGCCAAGCCAGATATTTTAAAAGATTGTGCAAGGTTGTAGCTCATTTTCTGATCCACACTCCATGTAGTCCTCGGTTCCACTGGGAACAGCGTTTATGGAGTTATCTATTATCTCTTATCATAATTCATTTTTCCAGAACTTCACAATAATCAGCAAGTCACTAAATTTTCCATTCTTCTTAGTATCTATATTATTTAAAAAAACTAAACCCAATGTCAGTGCTTAATTTATCTGTCCTTCATTCTTTCCTACTTAATCTCACTGGTGGCTAGATTTGAACACCCATGTCTGTTCTAGGTACATTGGCCAGCCTTCTCTGGAAATCCTCACCGTTAAAACTGAATAGTTTGTTCTAGTAAGCTCCACCTACTCCTTCTGGGTTGCAAAGATGGCACTATTTACCCTTAGGTGACCCAATTTTGACTTCTTAATGCCTACATACAAGTTGATACATCAGCCTTGTGAAATGTGAGCTACTTACTAATCAGGTCAGATCATTCCCTGGTCATTTATCATGTAAAGATAATGATTTGTAAATCATTGTTAACTAACTTATTCATTGGATGTATAAGATTCCATGGCACTTTTCAAAGAAGAGAAGCAGGGGACATAATCTCAGTGGCCTAGTCAATATTTATCCCCAACACTTACAACAAAGGTTGGCTGATCATTTAACTCATTGCTGTTTATTGGATCATATTGGTTTTCTTGTTTCCTACAGTACAACAGCGACTGCAATTCAGAGATAATTCATTAGGTATGTAGTACTTTAGGATGTCCTGTGGTTATGACAGGATCATATAAATATAAGCTTTCAAAATCTCTTGAACTAGAATAAGAAATAGTTGTGTGGAATATTATCAGGGGACGCTGTATAAGTTAGCCTTGATTTTTGATACTGTTATCACAGGAAATCTGATCTCCCAGAGCTTCTGAAGTTTGAAACCATTTCACTGATAACTATGACAAAATTGCTTAAGATGAAATTTTGGAGCTCAAAGATCATTTTTAATTTTGGATATGATGGATAATTTCAACAGGCAAGCTTCCATGTCAGGCCCACAAAATAGTACCTCTAATTTGTTCTTGTTTAATGGGCAAGTTAGCAAGTAAAGTTGAAAATGTTTATGATAGATTTAATGTAGTTATAAACTAGCTAAATAAAAATCCAATCCTCCTCCCAGATATGGAATCAACAGTTACACAGCTATTATCTCAAGCTAGAGGACACTCCATCGAAGCTAAAGTACAATCTGTTTCTGAATCATTACCAAATTTCCATGTCGCCATCTTCAATAAGTGAGGAGAAGGTATCTCCATGTACATTAATAATCTTTAATAGCCA